AAAAAAAAAAAAAAAAAAAAATCTTCCTCTCAAACTTAAAAAGAAGAAATGCTGGATGAAGAGCCCAGCTGGTGCAGGAGAGCGCACCTGAGCGCGTCAATTGAAAAAGAAAAACAGAAAGAGAGGAAAGAAGGAGTTGCTGTGTTTTATTTGTTATCTCTGTGGCTCCTCTCTCCTCGCGGCTCGCTCCTCTCCTCGGTGCGCGCTCGGGGGGTGCCAGATCTATTTCCGCATTGCCAGTCGAGCTGCCCGGTTGCCAGGTTTGCTCCTCCAGCTGCAGACACAAGAGCGCGAGAGAGAGAGAGAGAGCGAGAGAGAGAGAGGGAGAGAGGGGAGGGACGCACGAGGGGGAGGAAAGGGGTGGTTATGGGGGGGGAGGAGGAGGAGCCACCTGCCAATCAATTTCATGCGTGACCTTATAAGGTAAATGGGGTTGATGATGTCACCGGCGTCCAATTAAGGAGGCGGCGTGAGCGAGGGAGTGGGAGGAGCAGGCAGGGATGCGGGGGTGACCATTGGCTGCGGGGAGCTGTCAGTCCGGCCCATAGATGGCAGCGAGGGGGTGAGTTATTTTTAGAGGGGTATATAAAAGCTGCAGCATTCCTGCTCCAGTCATTACAGGCTGCACAGGAGAGGAGGCAGACCAGAGTGCTGCTGCCTGTGAGGACCAGAGCGTGGTCCATGTGTTGGGGAAGCTTCATCCTCACTCCACGTCACACTCACGTCAACACAGTGCAGGTACTTCTTCCATGAGGGGCAATTCACTCCCACGCTCCGGCACGTGGCCGTGGGATCGAACCTTGCCCCCCCCCCCCCCTCAGCCACAGTCGTTGGAGTGGAGCTGCCGTGTTGTTGTTGTTGTTTTTGTTTTTTGTGGCATGTGACCACTTCACCGCAGAGACTCCTCCATGTGGTTTCCATGTGGTGACGGAGAGCAAGGAGGCAGAGGAGAGCTCCACACGCCCACCTGTTCGGTTCAGGAGAGTTTAACCCACTTTCCTTTTTATTTCTGAACATTCACCCCTCAGCAGGTTTTATTACCTCAATATAAATATACATCCTCCAGACCTGAACTCACTCCCACCAAATGTCACTGTGTAAACTAATAAAAGTCTGCATACGGAAAAAAACAGCAGTGGCGGAAGGTTTCACGTGTTCTACTTTATCGAAAGTATCATACCACATGTAAAAGCTATTTTAAAATATGGGAACTTGCAAATGAAGATTTTTTTCTCTTCTTCATTTACTTAATTATCTGTTTACCAAGCTGTTAAAAGTAGAAACACACTGAATAAATCTAATAACTTGATAGTTTGTTAGTTGTGGGGGCGTAACACAACTCAACACAACACAAAAACACAGACAAGTGTTAAACAGAATGTCAGAAGTCAAGTTTATTTATATAACACATTTCATACAACAGTTGCAGACTCAATGTGCCTCAAGATTAAGAAGGAAATAAAGTATAATCGCGTGTTCCGCTCCGTCCTGATGAGAAAAGCCGGGAAGCTGCACAAAGAAGGAGCAGTGGGATTTTATTTAAGTGTACGACTCGTTTTAGTTTCACGTTTTTCTACGTTAGTAAAAGCAGCTCTGCGGCGCCGGAGGTTCATCCGTCAGTGTTGATTCCGACTGACGACGCAAGTGGATAATCTCTCCGTGGCTGTAGCTTGTGTTCGTTGATACGTGACAGACACAACCGACTGACTGCTGTCACCCGCCACCTCTGCAACAGACACGTGTGGGTGAGTGGGAACAAGGCTTTGACCCTTTTCCTCTGCAGATGATCGAATCCATGGCGATAAAGGCCGATGCTGCTCAGCAGAATTCAAACATTATGTCCTGCTGCTCTACCCAGGTAACCCCCACCTCGATGCAGCTGTTGTTGTGACTGACCTCGACAATCTCCCGCTGATTTCTTCACATACACGAAAAGCAAACTCTGGAAAATGTCCAGACTCAATTTTCCAGACATTTTTTATCCTTACAGCTTAATTTTCAGCTTTGATTTCTCTCATTTGTCTTTGCCATGACGACAACACTTCATGTTTGAACTATAGATCCGCAGGCTAACCATCCAAACTAGCATTGTTTTGCTAACAGGCAGCGATTGACCCAAAGCTTTCCATGATCAGCACGAGCTAAGATGGGGATCAGAGCTATTTTTCACAAAGTAAACAGTCATCGTTTGGTTGAAAGTAAAACAAAGTTAAGACACATATGAATCTCAACGTCCCAATTAAAACACAGGGCAAACAAACGTCCTGTCACAACCCGTTAAATAGTTATCGCTGCCCAGGAAGTTGTGTTTTCATTCCTATTTGTCGGTCTGTCACCAGGATTACACAAAAACTGCAGAATTAGAAGGTTGGGGGTTTGGGTCAAGGAAGAAGCCGTTAACTTTGGGAGCAGATTTGATTTCAGGGGTTCAGATTCAGGAACGTTAGAACGGACCGTGGCCTTCGTGGATATATTCAGAGAAAATCAAACTAATAATTTTGTCAATCGATTCCTGAAAATCTAAATATTAGTAGGAAACCAAATTGGGAGAATAGTTTAGGAACAGTGATGAGCAATGCTGTAAATTGTTTATACGTGTGTGTATTGATTTTTTATTGCTCACTGATTTATGAAACGGTGATCAGTGTCAGCGATTTATTTCATTTTAATCTTTTACAAAAACAGGTGAACTCATGCTGATCGTAACCCGTCTTTTTAATAGAGACCCGTGTTCCGGCGTAAACATGTACAGTTTGAAGTGAACCATTTGATGAGACCAGAGGAAGACGGAGTTTTTATTTAACACTTACATGACTGAGTGAACCTGATGGGCACAGATAGGGACGGCTCCTCTGGGTTGTTATAGCGATCATAAACCCCTTTAGAGGATCAGATGACTGAAATCACTTCCAGCAGCCTCTCAAAATGTTTGATGGCGGCGGAGTCACAATAAACTGACTGTCGTTACGGCAACACACACTAACAGCCTCAGCTTCTTCCTCACGTTTCCTCCATCCACTCGCTTTATTCCTCCGTCTGTTTCTAAACTCTCGTTTTTCTTTCCTTTAATCTCTCATCAAATGTCATTATTCCTTTTTTTCATTGAGTTTGTTTCTTAGCTTCTGTCACAGTTTTCTGTAGTTTTATAGTTTTGACATTAGAAACATTTCGAGAAACCTTCACTTCATATGCATCTCTCCCTTGGACACCGTGTGTGACTGACGCAGCGCACGTCCAGTTACTCCTGCAAATTACATTAATTGACTAAATGAGGGTGCAATAATTAAAAGGTCAAGATTTGAAACTCAAATGTGACGTCCGGGGCCACACGGGTCAAATCTGGACAAAACCTGCAGAGTGATGCGTTCTGGCACTTTGTTTTAGGAGAGATACTCAAAGAAGAGGTGGAAGAAGAAGAAGATACAGAAACTACTCCACCTCCAGGTCAAAGTTGAAAGATCCTGTTTGTGTCTCTTAGATTTTTAGCGAACATCTCTGATTGAATGAACACATATATTAACATAGTTAAAAAATAATAATACCATTTATTTTCATTTGATGCGACTCCTGCAACAGGTCTGGAGCAAGAAAACTCAAAATACAAGACAACTGGTGAACTTGTCTCCTAACTCACTTGTTGGCACAACTTAAAACCACAAGAGGTCCAGTGTGTCGACAGAGGAACTTGTTTTGGTAGAATGTATTATTGTGACCAGTCTGTATCTACCAGAGCTTCTGTTATGTAACAGCCACATGATACTGAGGATTTCCATGTTATTGAGTTTATACTGGCTTTGTGTTGTTGTGTGCTCGGGCTTCTTCTCTTTCTCCCCCTCTCCCTGAGCTTCTCCTGCATGCGTCTCGTCCCTCGGGGACGTCCCGTCGGTCTCGGAGGACTTCGAGAGCCAGATGGCTTCTGGATCGGCTGTTTTCAGGACATTTTCCCCATTGATTTTTTACAGCTCAGTCGGCCACCGGAGCGACCGAGGAAGGAAGGAGGAGGAAGCTGCTGTCAGGAGGAGAGCGAGGAAGACAGTGTGTGTGTGTGTGTGTGTGTGTGTGTGTGTGTGTGTGTGTGTGTGTGTGGAGTGAAAATGGATCAATACTACTGCTTGCCTGTAAGACCCTCAACAGATTCACATGCAGCATCTTGGTGAGATTCAACATTTAACAGAATAAAGCATCATCCTCATTATCATCACCTTTTATTTTTAAACCAGCAGATCAGTCAGTATTTTCCCAAACAACCGCTCCAGTACTAGATAGTACAACTACAACTTATTATATCTACTTTAATTCCTCTACTATTACTCACACTACTCCCACGTCTTTTGGCCGTGACAGGATTAAACCAAGCAATATAATAAATGGTAAAACCACTACCTGAGCTATAATTAATAGTTTTAGAGCTTGTACTACTAACATGATTACTACTTATACTACTTCCACCCCATTGATAATACTTCAGCTAATTTATCTGCTCTTACTGATACTCCTAACTACACTAACACTAATACTAATAACACTAGTATTTCTACTCCTACTTGTCCTCCTCTGCTAAAACCATGAATGCAACTACGTGTACTTCAACTTCTACCACTATAATAAAAAATACTACTGCTTCATCTATAACTACTTCAACCTGTAACAAGACTGAATGTTTTTCTAATGCTACTGTTCCCAGTACTATTACTACCATTTTGATGTACTTCGAGCCGTTGTCCTACTAGTACTTAAACAAGAATGAATGCTACTATGACCACTGTACTCGTACTCATTAGCAATACAGACAGTTCTACCGTCTTAAAGTAAATGAGTATTACTACAGATTTACGCTAATACTCCTCAAACTATTGCTATTGTACTGCTTCAAATTCTACCATTAGTACTACTTCCACTCTTTCTTCTGTAAGTACCGCTACAAATGTGCCTTTGTTGTATGAAGATGGAGGGAGAGAGAAAACGAGAAATGAGAGAAATCATTAAAAAGACAAAGAGGATTAAGACGGGGGAAAAAAGAAACAGACTAAAAAGGAGCGAGAGAAAGAATTTCATGGTAAAATGAATCTCCAGTGTAATTCCATTTCTGGCTAAAACTGCCGAACACCATAAGAGGAGAAAATACAAAAGCTGCATTTCTCTCTCTCTCTCTCTCTGTGTGTGTGTGTGTGTGTGTGTGGGCCGCATGTTTCTAAACCACACAACCTTTTAAAATCTGGGCATTGGTGCCCAAGCTCCACACACACTCAGTGTTGTAATCTTATTATTGTATTGTTTTGGCACAGAGAGAAACTAGAGGGAGAGAAAGAGGAGGAGGAGGAGGAGGAAGAGGAGGAGGAGGAGGAGGAGGAGGAGGAGAACTGGTGAGAGGAGAGAGGGAAGGATTCTTATCGCTGCTTTTCAATAATCTAATCAGGGCTGGAACTTCAGGATGTGAAAACTCAGGCTGGGATTTAAAGTCAAGTTGTTCGGTGGCACTTGGGTTAACACAGAAAAGAACACCTGTAAAAGAGCCACAGGCAGGATGATGGGGTTGGCAGAAATAACCAGATGTTACTCTTTCAAGACTAAATGTCATGTTGGTTTGCACATGTAATACATTTGCTTCCAAATCTCAGAAATGTCCTTTTTCCTGATTTTGAGAAATCTGCAGACTTGGTTGCTCAGAAAAGATCAGTGGCACATAAACATGTTCCTCAGGAGTGTGATGAGCATCTGCTACTGTACGGATCTGTGCAGAAGGCGCAGCAATATCTTTTATTGTAATCTTAACATCGCTTTAAGCCATAAAGATTTAATTGTTTCAACAACCTTAATTGTCTTAACATGTACCGTCGTCACACATCTGTTGTTTGAGCTTCCTTTTTTCAAGTAAAGTTCTTTGAGATGCATTTTATGTCATAAAACATGTTGTGTAAATTAATTTTATTGTTAATATTATTAATATTAATATGATTCTAACTTAGCAGTATTGATATTGGGAATCTCCAGATGATTCACTTAGGAGACGATAGGTCAAAGGTCAACGTCAACAAAAATAAAGTCCAAATAACTAATTTTTCAAGATATCCTCACAAATAGACAAAATCTATATTATGACATACATGAAATCCATCGTCCCTCCGCTGCTTTTTATTTAATCTTTAAGAACTCATACAAGAGTCTTGGTCGATATTTACAGATATTATAGAAACAATAGACGCGAGGCGGACTGAGGAGATCTGAAGCTTCTGTGTGTTTGATAATCAGTCAGACTGTGACAGGTCCGGGAGATTAATAATGAAAGGCCACTGAACACGCTCGACTCTGAGCTCAAAGGAACAGACCTGGAGATGATTGTAACCTACACACCTCGCACATAAAAGCCCATTCCCATTAATATCCATTGATTTTCTGGTCAGAAAGGAGCTCATATTAAATAACTGAGGACAACGTTGGACAATAGGTAGTGTCAAGTTGCTAGGCAACCCCCTGTATCCCCACATTTATGAAAACAGAAAGACATCCATCATAAAGGGTTAGTCCGTCTAATTTATGATGTCATTTACACGGGAACAGAGCTGTTAACGTAGAGAAATGGGCTGAACTCTGCAGAGAACTGGTGGTGGCAGTGGAAACTGAAGGGCTTCATTTGAAAACCAATTGTGTCACTGCAGGCCAACTAGGCTGTCTCCATTTAGACGGCTCCATCACACGTATCCTTCCTTTCCCAAGCAATGAAGGATCCCATGGGTAGCTTCGGGCCAAAGAAATAAATCTGTCAATGTTTGCAACTCCACCACCGACTGATACAACACAGTTGTTTAGACAGTGGCCACTTCACGACTACAGGCTCCGACTGTTCCTGAAGGCTGAAGATGTTGTTTGCATGTAAACGTCCCGGAAACAAGAAAAAAGTGATGATCACAGGTCAAATTCAAGAAGTCTGAAAAAGTTCATCCTGTAAAGAACCCTGGAGCTGACCTGAGGCTCGATGCTCTTCTGTCTCCGGAGACACACAACAAACAAAGACCTCCTCCTCCTCCTCCTCCGTGGAACATGTGTGACCCTGAATCAAGGTGGACGAAGAACCACACAACACAAACTCTGTCGCTCTGGCTCCGACCGAGGGAGGCGACACTGACTCCATGTTCTGCTCCGAGAGTCAGATCACTGAAGCAGACGTCAGGATGCAGTTTGCGTTGAGAAGCACGAGGAATAAGAAGAATCAGTCGTCAAGACAAAACAGAGGCTCTTCTGGCTGTAAGCGCCATTTATGTTTGTTTTATTGTGAAAGTACACTGGCTGGATTCATAGAGAGGAAGTTAGGAAGTGAACTTTTATTGTGAAAGGGTTCTGTTAATAATGAACGAGCTACGGCCGGGAGCAGCATGGTCACTACAATAACCATAGACCGTAAATAAAGATGGTCGACACAAAGTGAAGCCAAAGCATCTCCCTCGCCCCCTGGTGGCTGACTGCAGTGTAGGTCATAAAGCCCCGCCTCCATCTTAGCCGACCAAACTAAACATATACTTTTTCGTCAAAGACGGTGACTGTGGGCAGTTTTTCATTTCTGGGATATTTTGGCTTCCGTGCTCGTTAGCGGGAGGAAGCAGAGAGGCGTCGTCCATTTCATAAACAGGCTATGATTAAAACAACACATTCATGATGTCGTCTAACAAGATGCTGATGTGGTTTCCACCTTCAAACACTGGCAGGTCATTGAAACACTGAAGACATTAAAACAGACGGATCTTGTTTTAGGAGTTTGTTTTTTTCTTGCAGTTTGAAAAAAAAAAAAAACCCCATAAAAACAGACGGATGGATCATGTTCACCTCGTTAGACTGAAAAACATGTCACATGATAGACGCACAGACATTTCAACAATATACGTCAGTGAGTGACGCTGTCGGTCACATTACATCCAACAAGTCCAACAATTAGTGTCACATTTTGCATAAAATTGCAATTTTATCCAGACAATGACAATAAACTATATAGATTAAGATGTACTCAGCCTGTTGTTCCTCTTTCTCACACACGCACACACACACACACACGCTAAACCCGCCTTCCTGCCACTAAACACAACACGTTTCCCAGCCTCCACTCGCTAAACATGTAGCTGTGATATTTCCTGTCTGCTCGCCTCCTCCTCTCATGTCTGTGATATTTTTAATAATGGGGAGGAAGAAGCAATATATCCTGGAGCTGAGGGAGCGATACAGGGTTAAGCATATTCTGCAGCTAATTGCGCTTTCTGCTTTTTAATAAAGAAAAACCACATGCCTGCAGGCCCGCGTGTGTGTGCGTGTGTGTGTGTGTTTTCATTGCCGCACCAGGCATGAGCAAATAGTTGAAAAGAGAAATACCTCTTGGCTTTGTGTGTGCAGAATTATATCTCATGCTTCGTGTGTGTGTGTGTACAAATAGCGACTGTGACCATCAGGGACCTTTTCCCCATTCTCGTTCACTTGATACTGAATAAGCAACTTTACAATTTCATTATTCTTTGTTAAATGAACCGTTAAAAACCAAAAACATTTTGAGTTCACACTGATAACGGAGTAAAAATCCTCACATTTAAGAAGCTGGAATATTTAGATCCGCTGGACCGTTTTATCTTTCCCCTGATTATATTATTGATTAATTCACTATTTCTTTCAGCGCCACCTTTAAGTGTTAAACTCAAAGTGTCCTGGTGCATTGATTGAGATGAATTCTGAGCGTGTTATCCCGCCTCTGCAGCACAGTCACTCTGTTGACTAACTGCTCGTGAGCTACATGTGGGTTACCAGTGTTTGTCTTAGCAAATCATTTACACAGCTCTTGCAGGCGGACAAGCTCATAAATCAGAGAAGAAAGAATAAACTATGAACCGTTGTTTATAGCAGAGAATACAGAGGAGAGAGCTGGAAACAAACTGTCAAAGCAGCCAAGATTTAATATGACATATTGGTTTGGAGTTTTGGAATCTAAAGAAAACGTACCCGAGCTGTGCTGGGGTTATAAATTAAAGCACCCATGTGTTTGTTTGTTCAAATTATTTGGTTTGAAACCCGTTAAAGTCCACTGATGTTCCCTCTGATGTTGCTGATCATGACCCCTTGAACTTGCAACGTAGCCGCTCTGCAGTGAACACACAGCAGACGTGCACGTGACGGAGGCGTGACACGCTGCGGCCCAGCGAGGCCTGGGAAGTGTTTCAGACAGAGGCTGAAAAGAGGAGCTGCAGCAGTGGACCATATGAGGACAGTGATGCGTTTTCTGAACGTGTGTTAACATTTTCAAGTAGTAATTTGAATTATCGACCTGAACGTGAGCAGAACGCGTCTCTTTGTCATTAAATACTGATCACGATCATCACATATCTCCTGTACCAGCTGCCCGTGAATGGAAAAACACCAAGAGACCAGTAGTGTTTGTGCACATTTGCAAAAATATAAGGAAGCTTCATGAATCTCAGAGATTTAAATATGAAATGTTTGAGCTTCATTCAGTCTTTGCTGTATTCACTCTTTCACTCGTCCTGCTGCTTGAAGGACACGAGTCATTTCAGACTTCGACTCCACAAATAAAAACCGTGAGGCTTTTCAAGCTGCTCTTTGTGTGGATTGTAGCTGCTGCACTTTCACCAAAGGGGAGTAATAAGTGTGGGAAAGGAAAAGCCATGAAACTGAATGGTGGGTGGATGTCGGATGGTTGAAGAGCCCTTGGAGACATAATGTTCTTTATGAAGCCATAAAACAAAAGGCTGCTGCTTTTCCCTTCGCCACAATGACCTTCGCTTGATGACCAGCCCTCGTCACCGGCTCTTTAAAGACCCAGGTAATGGATGTTTATACATACCAGACATATACTAGCACATCGTCATCATCATCATCATCATCATCATCCTAACCCTGCCACATCACACCGGGCAATAATCTGCCCCGGGCGCTGGGGTTTTTTATGATTGACAGATTCGAATAAATCTCCTCATTTGGATATGCTGCGAGAGGAATTAATTACCAGGCAATTGTGTCTAACATATTAATTTAGAGGAGATTATACAATGCATTAGCTTGGCAGTTATTAAGCATGGTTATGTACGCCTGCGTTTGTGTATTGAAATCGCACAGGCGGAAAATTCAGTCCAATTTGCCATGCCTGGCTCCAGCTAACACGCTGCTGTGTCTCTGAATCCCTCCTTCCTTCCTTCCTTCCTTCCTTTCTCACATCCTCTGCTCCTTCTCTTCTGTTCCCTCCTCCTGTCAACCCCCCCCCCCCTTTCAACATCTAGTCTCCAACATCTGAGTGATGCAAGTGTGGTGAAACACGAGGGTCATAACCGGAGCAATGAGCAGAATGAAACTTTCACCTGACAAAGGTTTCAAAGGTTTCTCTTTGAGAAATGTTGTTTTTGTTTCCTCCTTCATCGCAGCCTACAGCTGAGGTTTCCACCAGGATATCACAGAAACTATCCATCGTCATCTGGTCATGTTACCAATGCTGAAAATAAAATGGCAACTCTCTAGAATCCCAAAGTTAGTAATTCGCTGCTTGATGCAAACCTCAGTCAAGCGCCATCTTGGTTTTTTGAAACCAGATGTAACCATATTTGGAGGAGCAGGGGGTGGAGCCTGACCGAGAGTTCGAGGAAGCAGATGTGTTTGGTTCTTATCCTCATTGATATAAATAGGAGGGACAATAAAATATATAGATACATGTTTGCAATATAATCTAATAAATAAATGATGCGATAAACCTGCGAGCTGCGATTACACATCGTGTGGCTGCTTTTACCAATTCTGATACAACATTTTCAAATTTAAACATTTGTGTCCTGAAGCATTTTAGTTCAAAAAGAATTAATTTTGCGTAACGTGACCAGAGAAAAGGTTCCACACTGTAAAGTGAAGAGCTACAGTTCTGCTGGTTTTCATGTTCCCCTCCAAAACAACTGACAAACAAATGAAGGTATAATTGGAGGCTCTGCTCACACTGAGAGACGACTGCTGCATCACTGAATAGATTAGCTGTTTGCAGGCTGTTGCTATGGCGGTGTACTCTACTGGGATGTGTGTGTGTGTGTGTGTGTGTGTGTGTGTGTGTGTGTGTGAGAGAGGGTGTGTTTAGTCTTTGCTGTGTGTTTGTGAGTTTCCTATTATGGAACTGAATGCTTGCTGTTTTCCTGAGTATTCATCTGTGTATGTGTTTTGTATTTTCGGTGCATTTCTGTGTTTTTGCGGGAATACGTCTGAGTTTTTCAGTCTGTCTTCTGTGTATATATTGTCTGTGTGTGTCTGTGTGTCTGTGTGTGTGTGTGTGTGTGTGTGTGTGTGTGTGTGTGTGTGTGTCCCTGGTGTGCTGCTGGTAAAGCGTGGCGTGTTGCTCTAACAGGCTTGTCCTCCATTAGTAGCTCAGCACTGGGCTTAAAACTGGGAGGGAGGAGGAGAGATGGACATGTGCGCACACAAACACACATATCCATGAACACGCAAACACACACATCCATGAACACGCAAACACACACA